TCCCTGACAGCTAAACAGGCTGTTTTTGTTACTGTATATATAAAACCCCATTTCCAAAAAAGTTGGGACGCTGTGCAAAATGTAAATAAAAACAAAATGCAATGATGTGCAAATCATGTAAACCATATTTTTAAAGGGAAATACTAAAACAAAGTCAAAGTCTACAACAAGACAACAAATCAAATGTTGAAACTGTAAAATTGTATTGTTTTTTGAAAAATATTTGCCCATTTTAACAACATGTTCCAAAAAAGTTGGGACGGGGGCAACAAAACGCTAGAAAGGTTGTGTAATGCTACAAAAAAAACCTGGTGGTTAATTGGAAACAGGTCAGTAACATGACTGGGTATAAAGAGAGCATCTCAGAGAGGCGGAGTCTTTCAGAAGTAAAGATGAGGAGGGGTTCACCATTCTGTGAAAGACTACACCATCAAATAGGGCAACAATTCAAGAATAACATTTCTCAACATAAAAATTAAGTGGAAAAGTGTCCTGTGGTCCGAGAAATCAACATTTGAAATATTCTTTTTGGAAATCATGGACGCTGCGTCCTCTGGGCTTAAAGACCACTCAGCTTGTTATCAGTGCACAGTTCAAAAACCAGTATTCATGATGGTATGGGGGGCATTAGAGCACATGGCATGGGTGACTGGCACATCTGTGAAGGCACCATTAATGCTGAACGATATATACATGTTTTAGCAACATATGCTGCCATCCAGACGACGTCTTTTTCAGGGAAGGCCTTGATTATTTCAGCAAGACAATGTCAAACCACATTCTGCATGTATTACAACAGCATGGGTCTGTATTAACAGAGTCCGGGTGCTAAACTGACCTGCCTGCAGTCCAGACCTGTCACCACTGATAACATCTGGTACATTATGAAGTGAAAAATATGAAAAATGAGACCCTGAACTGTTGAGCAGCTGAAATTCTGTATCAAAAAGAATGAGAAACATTTCACTTTCTAAACTACAGCAGTGTCTCCTCAGTTCCCAAATGCTTACAGAGTGTTGTTAAAAGAAGAGGTGATGAAACATTTTTTTTAGCATTTTTTTTTGTTTTAACATTTGATTTGTTGTCTTTGTAGCATTTTCCTTTAAAAAGATGGTTTACATGATTTACATATCCAGTGTCCCAACTGGAAATAGGGTTGTATGTATATATATATATATATATATATATATATATATATATATATATATACATACATACATACATACACACACACACACACAGACTGTTCGGACCGGGGACTGAACATTTTGAAACTTTTTCAAGGAAAGTGAGTTTTTCCATGATATGGGCCCTTTAATGTTTTCCAATTCAGAGGATTTGATTTGTAACCTGGCACTTGTGGGCAGAATCCCCCCGCTTCCATTCAACTGTACTAATCTTACGAGGATGAGGGATTAATTAGGGGTTAATGAGCGAAGCTCAGCTTTGTGGATTATTGTGGCGGCTACTGTGTGGAAAGTGAAATCTTTCAGTCTGTGTGCTTTTACAAAAAAAAAGGTACAAGATCTAAACAAGCGTTACAGTCAGAGAGAGAGAGAGAGAGAGAGAGAGAGAGAGAGAGAGGGAGAGAGAGGGAGAGAGAGGGAGAGAGATGGAGAGAGATGGAGAGAGAGGGAGAGGGAGAACGAAAGGGAGCAGAAACAGAGGGCAGAGGCGAAAGAGAAAGTGACAGAGAGAGAAAGCGAGGGAAAGGAAACAGATGGAGAAAGAGAAAGAGTGAGCAGAGAAATGAGAGAGAGAGAGAGAAGTATGCAAGGAGGAGAGAAAGAGTAGAGATGAAAGACAAAGTCAGGAGAGTTTGTTGGTTCAGTGGGTCAGAACTGTTTTTCTCTGGTTCTACTACAAAGTTAGGAGTATTTTGTCGGTTCTGTAGGTTAGAACTGTTTTCCTCTGGTTCTACTACAAAGTCAGGAGTGTTTGTCAGTTCTGTGGCTCAGACCTGTTTTCCTCTGGTTCTATCACAAAGACAGGAGTACTTGTTGGTTCTGTAGGTTAGAACTGTTCTGTGGTTCTGTTACAGCCCTGAAAATGTAAGTCTGTAAAGTCTGCCTCCCCAGATTCCGCTCTCTGTTCGGTGGAACAGGCCTCGATCCGTCACGTGACGAGAAGCGGGGAAAAAAAAAAAATAATCAAACGCTGAAAGAATGAGCGTGAAAAAAGAAAAAGAAAGAATGATGAGGAGAAACATCAGTGCTGCACGCGTGTGTGTTTGGTGTGTGTGCGCGCGTGTGTGTGTGTGTGTGTGTGAGCTGTGGGAACATTTGGCTCTGAGCAGGAAGTTTAGAGGAAATGCCTTCGTCACATCCACAGTACTGTGATCTGGGTGTTCTTCCAAAAAAACGGGAATGTACTTCTCCTCCTCCTCCTCCTCCTCCTCCCTCTCGCCCCTTCTCCGCGGCCCCTTGGCCCATCCCTCGCTTCCATTCCTCTCTTTACTTTATGAGCGATTGTGAAAGTGAATGTGGGTTTAAAAGCTTACCTCATGTCTTCCAGTAAATCACATTCGGTCTGGTGTTTAAGGTGCAGTCGGGTGAGCTGCTCCGTGTGAGTGGTCTTCAGCTCCTGCGTCACTTTTACCTGCACGCAAGAAGAAGAAGAAGAGGATGAAGAGGATGAAGAGGAAGAAGAAGAAGGACTCATTAGCCAATTATCACATCACACGCCACCTAATCCTGTCTCCATACTCACAGCTCACACATCTGCACACAGCAATTATCTCCATCATGGACATTTTCAAGTCTATCCAGCGTTTGTTTATGGCCCTACCAGACTAAACACCTGAGGCCTCGTGCACACGACTCCAGATGTTTTCCTCCCTTTAAAAAAACTTTTCTGGCTCCCGAGTGGCACAACCGTCTGAGCGTTGGCTCCATCAAGTCACGTCAAGTCAAAGTTTATTTATACAGTACTTTTTACAACCGGTGTTGTCACAAAGCAGCATTACAGAAAAATCCGGGTCCGAGCCCCCATGAGCGTCGCAAATGACGACAGCGGCAAGGAAAAACTCCCTAAGAGCAAGAGGAAGAAACACTGAGAGGAACCAAGCCTCAAAAGGGGAACCCATCCTCCTCTGGTCAACACCGGATAGCAAACAGCGTTAGTATAAAATATTATAATACAAAAACAGGGAAAAACTGGTGGAGCAATGGTTAATTAGATAGTTCGAGTCTGTGCAGCAGCAGCAGAAGCATCATCAGGAGGGTCAGCTCTGTCATCAGGAGATCTCCAGTTCAATCCCTGGTGATGCTACAGCTGTCTGTGGCCTGGAGTCGTAACTAGCTGACATAACTGGCGGATAACGTTCTCGACCCAGCACATTCGGCTGTCCAACGACGTTGGGTGAGCGGCAGTTTGAAAAGATACGGTGGGGCTTCACAGGTCTCAGAGGAAGCCTGCGCTGGTCTTGGCCCTCCTAGCGCTGGTGTGATTGGGGGAGACCTAACTAGTGGGTGGAACTGGATACGACTCAATTGGGGATAAAATTGATCCACACCAGTAGTGTTTTCAGAAGTCTCTTCGTCCAGACGGGAACACTAAAACACTCATGTCAGCACGCCAGTCCAGTAGAGGGTGATGATACCCCTGGAAATCATGGACACTGACCACTCAGCTTGTTATCAGTGCACAGTTCAAAAGCCAGTATTCGTGATGGTATAGGGGGGCATTAGTGCACATAGCATGGGTGACGTGCACATCTGTGAAGGCACCATTAATGCTGATTGATGTACATATGCTGCCATCCAGATGACGTCTTTTTCAGGGAAGGCCTTGATTATTTCAGCAAGACAATGTCAAACCACATTCTGCATGTATTACAACAGCATGGGTCTGTATTAAAAGAGTCTGGGTGTTAAACTGACCTGCCTGCAGTCCAAACCTGTCACCACTGTAAACATTTGGCACATTATAAAATGAAAAATACAACAAATGAGACCCTGAACTGTTGAGTAGCTGAACTTCTGTCAAATAAGAACAGGAAAACATTTCACTTTCTAAACTACAGCAGTGTCTCCTCAGTTCCCAAACGCTTACAGAGTGTTGTTAAAGAAGAGGTGATGAAGCACAGTGGTAAACAGGCCCCCGTCCAACTTTTTTGGAACGTGTTGTTGGAATCAAATTTGAAATGGGCATATATTTTTCAAAAAACAATAAAATTTCTCAGTTTCAACATTTGATATGTTGTCTTAGCAGTATTTTCCTTTAAAAATATGGTTTGCATGATTTCCATATCATTGCATTCTATTTTTATTTACATTCTGCACAGCGTCCCAACTTTTTTGGAAATGGAATTGTATGTTCTGATTATAGATGAAGACTGAGGTGTATATTCTCTCTCTACTCAACAATCAGATGGAAAATCTGTTTACATGCTCACTACGAATAATCAGATCCAAAATTAAGTGCATGCGTAGAGCACAACTTAGTGTAGATGTTACCATGACAACGAGCATCACGTGAGTCCAGTCAGAGTGAGATGAGCAGCAGTGAGCAGCGCTTGTGTTTTTAATCACTTTAAAATGATGTCAGACTCAGGAAAACGTCCTTCACATGTCCTTATTAAAGAAGGCCGAGAGGAAGACGTCGTGTTCTGAGACACATAAGCTGGACGTCCGTCCCACCGCCGTCTTTTAAAGATCAGAGCATAAACTTCGTCTCCTCTGCAGACCAGTTTCTGCTCCGCCATGTTGAACGGTATAAACTTTCACTATGACACAATGAACATGATCAGAACAGACTTAAACTTTCCGATAGGGAATGTAATCAGATACAGGCGTTTACACGGATATTATTCTTCTATTCAACAGATTATTTACAGGATTACCCACCTCGATCAGTCGGATAGAAACTGTATTGAATGGCCTCAATCGGACTAGTCTATTCCGATAGAGGTGGATACATGGACGTATTCTATTCCGATTGAGCTATTAGTCGGATTATTAACGGATTATCAGGCTGCATGTAAACGTGGAGACTGTCTACATGTGACGGACTGATGAGAGCAGAGCTTGGAATACAGAGATGTTGAAAATTTTTCTCATATATTCTCACTGTACAGAGATCTCTCCTTCACTGGCTCGGCTCCTCAGCCTCTCTCCTCTCACAACGTTGGACAGCAGAGAAGCTATAAAAGTTTGTTTTTGTTGCTGTTGTTACTACAACCATGAACCACGCAGCACGGCTGTATTTCTGTTAGGATGCTTTATTAACTAACGGTGCACAAACGGTGGCTCGTTGAGCGCCGCTGTCACAGGTGGTATGTCAACAGCATAGCACAAGGGTCAGTACTACACGGCTCCGGAGCTGCATGCGGCTCTTTTACTGCCCTGTTGTGGCTCCACAGCAGAATTAGATTCGTAGGTAAAAGTAAAATAATCCTCCTTTACAGTAAAATAAAGCTCTGCTGATCGTTCAACACAGTTTAACAATAAATGGTCTTAAACTCTGGAGTTAATGTAGAACTGCTAATTCACCCTTTAACCCTGAAGATCAGTGCAGACTGCTGGTCACCATAGCAACGCAGACAACAGTCTCGCCTAGCTAGTAGCTAACGAAACGGAAAAGAGAGAAGACAAACATTGATAATTTGGAGATGAATGGACTTCCTGATATGTTTAATCTGCAACGAGAAACTCAAACACTAAAAAGTCGCGAGGCTGAAGTCGCTTCTCATTCTCCAGCTTCTTGTTCAAATTTTCCCGTTCCACCTTAAACAGTGCAGCAGTTACATTCTGGAGCATCAGGCACCATTTAAGGTGGAACGGGAAAATTCGAACAAGAAGCTGGAGAATGAGAAGCGACTTCAGCCTCGTAGAAAGTCAAACGTTGAGAGACATTTTACAAGAAACTGTTCTTCTCTGCCCTGCGATGGACTGGCGACCTGTCCAGGGTGTATCCTGCCTTCCGCCCAATGACAGCTGGGATAGGCTCCAGCACCCCACCGCGACCCAGAAGGATACGTGGTTTAGATGATGGATGGATGTTCTACTTTTGGAAAAGTTTCCTGCCGGAGATGCGAGAAAAGCAGCTATAGCAGAGCTAAAGCTTAAAGCAGAGCAAAGTGAGTCTGCGTTTTCGTTTATGTTATATTTTTCATCCTATTCTAGAACATCAGCACATACTGAGACATATTTACAGCCAAGATGGTAAAACAGACATACAATGTTGTGGCTCCCAAGGTGGTTTGATTTTTAATGAAAGCTCTTCTTAACATTTGGGTCGCGACCCCTGGCATAGCGACAGCAACAAGTATGATGTCAGCTGAACACTATCTATAACAGAGGGAGCAGTTTGCCACCTAAAGCTGAGAAAACCGAATGTAATGGTTTTGAAATGTTAAGCATTTCCGCATGTTAAGCGGTTTTAGTGCGACTGCTTAAAACAGCTCTGTCCACCATTATATTTGGGTTTGAAAAGAGAAGCGTGTCAAGACGTAATGATTTGTGGGCAAGTTGTGTTGCTGTTTTCTCTCGTTCTCTCGCTCCTCTGAATGCTCATCTAACTCCATCCACTTGAGCCTTTACAGTAATGGAACAGCCCTCCCTTATTCTCCAGGGTATATTTCGTTTTTTCCATCTGAATTTACATTAGTCAAATTAGTCAGTAACTGCATTAAAAATAATGCAAATTTTTGGGGATTTTGGTAAAAGCTCCCCTCAAATGAACAGAAAATGTGTTTTATGAACATACACAATAATAATAATAATAATAATAATAATATTTTTATTTATATAGCCGTTTTCATGCTGGTGGCAGCTCAAAGTGCTTTACAGACAGGTGATAAAACATAGTTACACAAGAAATCATCAGTGTTTATTTAGAATCAGAAAAAAATGAAACAGATCAAATTAGAAGATAAAAACCACGAGATGTAGAGTTTTAATTAAACGCCGGGTTAAAGTGATACATTTTTAGATGCTTCTTAAAACTGAGCTCTGAGCTTGACTGTCTAATAAAAGCTGAACTGAGCTCCACAGTTTAGAAGCAGAATAACTGAAAGAGCCTCTCCACGTTTTCTGTATTTTACGGATGGTATTTTCAGAAGGTCAGTATCTGCAGATCTGAGATTACGTGCCAGAAAATAAGCAGACAGACACTCTGTGATGTAAGCGGTGCTTCAGGGTCATTAAGACCTTAAAAACTAGTAGCAGAACTTTAAAATCTATCCTGAACGAAACAGGCAGCCAGTGCAGCTCTTTTAAAATGGGACTGATCTGATATCTGTGTCGTTTTTGTTAGGATGCTGCTACATTTTGTACGAGCTGTAAGGGATGTGTAGTTTTCTTAGGAAGTTCAGTTAGAAGATCATTACAGTGATCAACTCTGCTTATAACAAATGCATGAACAAGTTTCTCTGCGTCGCTCTGAGAGAGAAAAGGCCGAACTTTAGCGATATTTCTCAGATGATAAAAAGCTGCTTTAGTGACTGTGTTTACATGCAGATAAAACAGAGCTCAGAGTCTAAGATCACACCCAGGTTTCCTACTTCAGGTTTGGTAAATGAAGCTAAAAAAACAAGTTTTGTAGCAACGATCAATATTTCAGTTTTTTCATGATGTAATTGTAGAAAATTTTGCAAC